CCGGCTTGCAGGGGGGCTGCCACAGGCGCAGGGGTCGGCGGTCCCAGGGGAAAGCGTCCTCCGTGGATACTGATGGTTTGAAGGAAGGTGGGGGGTCTGGGAGGGACCCTCTGCATCCACCCCTCACTGTGAGCCCGGCCCCCCTCTCTTCTCCGAAGCCCACCTGTGCTGCCTCCTGATAGGGCAGATGCTGCATTCTAGCAAATACCTGGCCCGCTGTGCCCCCCACTTGGCCCCCATTGCCCTTGCCCCTCCCCGTGGGGACCCCCAGGGGCAGACGGAACCTCCTGGAGTCCTCGGCCTGAGCCCCAGGGCCAGGACGCCCCTGCCTCTTCCCCACTCCCTGGGGCTGTGCTCCACGACCACCCCTCCAGGACCCAGGGTCCAGCCAGACCCCACCCCCACCATGGCACTGGGCAAGGCTGGCGCCTGCCCCTGCAGCCAGCTGTAGGCGGCCGTCACCACCTGCCGGCCCAGGGCCAGATGCCGGTGGCTGCCGTGGGCATGGGGGTGGGACTCGCAGCCGCCTGGTGGGGCAGCCTCGGGCCCCCACCCGCCCTCACCTGGGGCTACTGCAGGCCCTTCGTTAGTCCCCCCGCTCTGCCCTGGGATGGGGCACCTGTCTCAGCTCAGGCACCGTGAGGGGTGGACATGGGCCCCAGCCTGAGGCCCCTCCCCTGGGTCCCCCGCCCACCTGTGCGCCCGCACCTGCCACTCCCCAGAGCGTGGCTGCAGGGTGGCAGGTGGGGCCCCTGGGAACCGCACTCGGGTGGGAAGGTGTGGCTCCCTGAAGTCTCCGGGGTGGCCTCCCGCCCCTCGGGCCCAGAAGAGAGGCCGGCGACAGGCCCCAGGGCCGTGCGGGCGGCCTGTGTGCCCAGCCTGTGACCTGTGACCCCTGCTGCGGGGCCACAGCCCGGGAAGCCTCAGGCCCCTGCGCTGACACCGGGCCTGGCACTGACTTGCTGCCTTCTCACCCCGGATAGACACCAACGTCAGGACCCCCAAGAGGAAGCAGCCCGTACCCCAGGGCGCAGACGTGTGCCGAGGGCCCCCCCCGACCCGGGCGCCACCCAGCCCCAAGCCGACGCGGCATCTGTGCCGGCAGAGCCCCTGTCCCGGACCGCCGGAGACGCCCAGCCAGCGCCAGGAGGCCCCGTGCCGGCTGCCCCCACGGCGCACCCCGGTGGTGACGGGCAAGCCCCCAGCCGACGGGTCTGTGAGGCCACAACAAGCCTCCTGGGCGCCCACCTGCGGGCGTCCACAGGAGAAACCCCCAGGGGCAGGGAGCGCGGCCTCCTGCCCCGTCAGGTCCGGGACCTGCACGGGCGGCCACCTCTGGCCACAGAAGCACGTGGACCCGAGTGGGGGCCTGGACCCCCCGTGAGGACTGACCAGGGCTCAGGCAGGGCCGGGCGGTCAGTGCTGGAGGACAGAGCTGTGAATGGGGTCGGTCCCAGGCCAGGCGGCAGCCTGGCCGGGCTTCGGGTGGGCTGCTGAGGGCCTGGCCACGTGGCCCGGGGGAGGGGCTGGGGGACGGGGCGCCGCCCAGGTTGGAAGCCTGACTTCAGGACCCAGCACTGCGGGGCCATGAACGCGCCCGCTTCAGACAGCCTGCGCGCACAGTGGGGCAGCAGGGCCCGGGACACCGTGGGCCAGCCGCCCCGGGCCTGCCCGCTGGGGGCCTGTGCTGCGGGGTCACGGGGGTCTGATGAGCTCAGCACCCAGCTCAGCCTTGGGCGAGGACAGCCCCCTGCAGCAAACCTCCCCCCCCTCAGAGACCACTCCCTGAGCCCTAACAGTGAACCCCGAGACCAGGGCCCTGTGTTCCCGGTGACCCAGGGCCCAGGCCCCCTGTGGCTGAGCCCCCCCGTCTCTCAGGAGAGCCCTTGGCCCCCAGATTCCCCCACCCCATCCCGGCGCCCACCCGGCCCGTCCTGGGAAGGCCCTGAGCCCAACTGGGCCTGGATGCTGGGCCTCACCGTGCAGGCCAGGCCCAGGGCAAGGTCAGCACAGGGCCCCACGGGAGCCCCCGCAGTGGCCAGGCCCTCCCGGCCCCACCTCGGCCCCAGCCCCTCGGTGTGACGAGCAGCCGCAGTGGCCCCTGCCCACCACGGTCGGCTCATGGGGTGCCCTGGGCTCCCGCCCCCAGAGGCTCCTCGCGCTGGACTTGCCGCGCCAGTCACACAGCCGGGGCTGCTCCCCCACGCCCCAGCCGGGGGCCACACGGGGAGCCCAGCCTCCGTGCCCCACCTCCAGGCAGCCCCCGCCCCACAGGCCTGCCCGTCCCTGCGCCCTGGGTCTGGGCAAGTCATCCGGGGGCATCTTCCATCCGGCCCCCACAGCAGATCCCTGCCCTGGCGGGCCCCACACAGCAGCCCCCAGGAACCCTTGACCTTGTGCTCTGGGCCCAGGCCAGGTCTATGTCCCCGAAATGTCCCTGGCCTGGCCCCAGGACAAGGCTCTAATCTCCTGCCAGCACCCCCAACCCAAGGCCTGTGGGGGGAGGGTTGCACCCTGCACCCCTCACCCTTGGCCCCTGGCCACACTGCCCCGTCCCTGGCATCAGCCTCGGGCCCCCCCCCAGGACAGCTGCCGGCCGGCCGGCTGGCCAACACCCCTTTGAAGCCAGGAAAGCTGGGCAGCAGCAGGGGGCAGTCACACCCTTTGGTGTCAGAGCCCCACCGCCCTTCCAAGTTCACCCGACTTCAAGGGTCCCGGCTCGTCATGCTCCGGGCAGGGCAGATCAGAGGGCGCCCGGCTGGCTGGCTCGGTGCCTGGGGCCGTGCCCTCCTGGCACCCCCACCCAGTGCCTTGCACCCACCAAGGACACCCAAGTATCCCGAAATGGCCCATCCAGAGGGTTGCCCTGAGGACACCGTTGACCCCCTCACCCACCTCCAGCCTGGGACCCCGAGCAGGCCCCAACCATGCCCACCCCCAGAACACCCCGCAGAGCTGGGGATCGTGGCATCTGTGTCCCCATTGGTGAGCCCATAGGATTGGCCGCTGCCCCCACCCAGGCCTTTGTGCCTGTGGCCAAGGGCGCCTTGGGGCCTGGCCTCAGTGGGAGTCTAGGGCGGCCATGCAGGGGCAGAGGGGCCCAAGGGACCGGGGGTGGGGTGTGTGGCCCAGCCACAGTGCCTCTCCCTTGCCCCCCAGCTCCGCGAGGTCCCACCAGTCACCCAGGCCCCCCACCTGACCCCTGAGCCTGGCCAGTCCCTCTGTGCTCAGCCTGGAAGTCCCCAGTGCCCCAGAGAAAGGTGTGGGGCAGGGCGGGGCAGAGCCACCGGGCGAACCGGTCAACCATCACCTGTTAGGGGCAGACTTTGCACCCCCTTGGGGACACCGTCTCCCCTCTGCCGGCCTCCCCCCATGGAAAGGACCCACTACCGTCTGGTGGGCTGCTCCCCTCACACCCACCCTACGGGGGTGCAGGGAGGTGAGACTCCGTCCTGGCAGTGCAGGCATGGGCAGCTTGCGTGCACCTCTGCAATGTGTGTGGGGGGGTCCAGAGCCAGGGCCGTCCGAGTGGGCCCTGAAGTCCCCCGGGGTCATGGCAGCGTCGAGGGGCAGATAGCCCAGGACAGGAGAGGTGTGGAGGGTGGTCCCAGTTGCAGACGGGGGGGGGGGGGGGCTGCAGGGAGGAGGAGGTGCTCACTCCCGGCAGTGGCTGAGGGGGCCGTGGAGGGCGGGGCCTCTGAGCCCCGGGGTGTGGGCTGAGCTCCCCAGGGGAGCACCTGCTGACCAGGTGGGCCCCGCCCCCATGAGAGCCCTAGGGGTCGAGGGGCAGGACTCAGGGTCTTCAGGTTCTGCAGGCTGACCTCCAGCGTGCCTGCCCTCCTCGCCCCCTGGCCCCAGGTCTCCCTACCACTGGACAGACATCTCCTTGCTACCCAAGGTCCATCCCTCCCCCATCTTAGACTGAAGCCCAACCAGCCCCTCCCCCGCAAGCCTGCTCTGTCTGGGGACCTTGTGGGGGTCACCAGCTGTGAGCAGCCACAGCCCCCATGGCACCCCGAGTCGCTGCAGCTCGCCACCCCACGGCAGCCAGTGCCCAGGTCTCCCACTGCACCCACCGCAGGCGGCCCCCTTGCCCGCAGCCAGGACCACTCCAGTGGGGCCTCCTCCCAGGGGACGGGGAGGTGTGGAAAAGGAAGGACACTGCCTGGAGGCCCCGGTGGAGGAGGGGGAAGGGGACTGGAGGCCCAGCCCTCAGAGACAGAGGAGGAGGGGCTGCTCCAGTGTGAGGTTGAGGGACAGGGGCTGAGGCCTTGACCTTGGGGGGCCCAGCAACGCCTGGGAAGGATGGTGGGTGTCTCAGCCTGCAAAGCCTGTCCTTGTCTGGAGAAGCCAAGCCCCGGCCCCGGCCCAGGCAGGGCCCTTCCTGCCCAACTCCGAGGCTCTGGGGACGTCAGGTGCTTCACACAGGCGGCTCTGCTAGAACCACACAGGTTGTCGTAGTGCCTTTTCCTAAGAGGTTCCAGCCCCCCACCACCACCTGGCAGGAGGAACCCCCACCCTCAAGTGTTAGCCAAGCAAGTCGGAGGCTTGTGTCCCCAGGTGGAGAGCGAGACCATTGCCCCACTCAGGGGTGGTGGCCAGACCCTTGGGATGGCATCCTGCAGGCGGCAGGTGCCTGGGGGGGGGGGTGCCAGCCCCGCCCCCCGGAGGGCAGCCCCAGCCCTCCAAGGCCACCCAGCTGTGTGGGATGGGAGCGAGTGAGGGCCCCGGGGCTCCGCCATGGAGAGGTGTTCGTGGGCCAGGTGCCAGGGCTCCAGCCGGCCAGGGAGGTGGACATGCACAGGTACAGAGGCCAGTGCTTCTGTGCGGGGGTGGACACTGAGCCCTGGGGATCCCAGGTCCCAAGCTGACCCTCAGGCCCCGCGGTGGGACTCTGTCCCGGGTCTGGAGCCCAGGCCACAGGTCCACTCGCAGGCCCATGGGCTCACACACACACCGGTACACACTTGTACAGATGCACACGCAGGCAGCAACACTAGTTTAGAGGAAAAGGATGCACGTTTTCTTGTTTAACAAAATAAATTAAATATACGAAGCTTCAGCTCAAACTCTATATAAAATTACAGAGGTCTGGGCCACCTCGGACAGTGGGGTGATGGGTGCCTGGCCCCGAGTGGACACCCGGCCTGGCCATGAGGCCAGGTGGGTCCTGGGCCCCCAGAAGGCCAGGTCTCTGTGGCCCTGCTCTTTCATCATTAATATTATCTTAATTTCATAAATATAAATATCAAGGCCCTCTTCTCTCCGGCAGTGGGAGGTGGGTGTGACCAGAGTCACTCCCAGCTGGGCTCCGGCCTCTCAGGACAGGGCCCGAGACGGCCATGCCCGATCCCCCGACCCCCCGGCCCAGGGCGCGGGGACTCCTGGACACCCAGGACAGGTGGTGGCAAAAATAGCCGCCCACCTGCCGAGGCCTGGGCAGAGACAGGCGGGCAGGCGTGGGGCAGGGGTGGGAGTTTTTGGTTTGCAAAGCCAGGGCGTCTCTCAGATCTCCTGCCAGGCAGGGGCGGCGACTGTGCCCCTGTGAAACCCTCCTCACAGGCCAAGGGCTTCCCTCGTCAAGCGGCCCAGCACCGCGTGCCCAGAGCACGCCTGTGTGTGTGTGGAGGTCTCTCGTGCATGCTGCGCCTCGCCCAGGGCGCCCGGGCTGCTGGCTGCACCCTTCCCCGGTGCACACCCCCCACCGCGGCCCTCTGCTCCCTGCCTGTCTGCCAGCCTGGCCCCCGGGCACCCACCCCGGGGCACCCAAAGCCCCAGCACCGGCACCACCTAGCACTGGTAGTGGATGTGCTGGTGCTGGTGGACCTTGCCCTCCACGTGTGAGTGCGTGTGTGAGTGCGTGTGAGTGTGCGTGTGCACGTCTGTGTACAGCTTGGGGTAAAGCTTGGGGCCAGCCGCTGAGCCTGGACCCAGCAGGTGCTGGGGGGCTGCCGGGGCCCCGAGCTCCTCACACAGCCCCACGCCGGCGGCGGTGCCAAGGCCGGGGGACACCCGCAGGTCCTTGTCCCCGCCTCGGTCCCGAGTGGTCACCGGCGTGCGGTGCGCAGGCGCGGGGGGCACGGGAGCGGGTGCGCACGGCTTCTTCTTGGCCTGGCACAGCCACAGGAGCACAGTGCCCAGGATGAAGACGGCGCCGGCCGGGATGCCGATGACCACGGGCCACGGCAGGCTGGTGGTGGAGGACGAGGGGTGCACGGGCGGCCCTGGCGGCTTGGGATCTGCAGGCGAGAACCAGGAAGAGGGCGGGAAGGGTCAGGAGCGCCTGCGCACGGCCCCGGGGGCGGGCAGGGGGCAGGGGCCAGGGGCCGGCGGCGTGGGGCACCTGGCAGCACGGTGAGGAAGGCGCTGCGGAAGCTGTAGCCCATGGTGTTGGCGCCCAGGCAGATGTACATGCCCGCGTCGTCCTGGCGGGCGCGGGTGATGAGCAGCTTGTTGAGGTAGGAGCCGTCAGGCCGCGACCACACGTCGCCCGTGGGCAGCACCACGAACTTCTGGCCGCCCACGTCGATGGTCGAGTTGTAGCGGCCCTCGGAGCCGTACTCCACGCGCTTCAGCCACTGGATCACGGGCTTCACGTCGCTGCGCACTTTGCACTGGAAGGACGTCGTGCCCCCGAAGTCCACCGTGGTGTTCACGGGGTGCGTGCCCGTGAGCACCGGCTTGGAGCGCGTCCGCTCTGCAGGGGAGACGGCATGTGGGCGTGCCCCGGCCCCGCCCCGCCCCGGCCCCGCCCCCCGGCCGGCACTCACGGATGACGTCCACCTTGTAGGTCGCGTTGATGGCGCCGGCGCGGTTGGACACCCGGCAGGTGTACTTGCCGCTGTCCTCGGGGCGCAGGTTCTTCAGGCTCAGCGTCCACTTCTTCCTGTGCTCGCTGGCCTCGGGGCGCGTCAGGGCCTGGTCATCCTTCATCCACATGATGTCGGGCCGCGGGTGCCCGCTGGCCACGCACTTGAGACGCACGGAGCTGCCCACAGGCCGCGCGATCACCCGGCGCCGCATCTTGGAGGGCTGCGTGAAGCGGGGCCGCGCTGCCGGGTGGGCAGCAGAGAGGTCAGCGGGGCTCCGACGGAGGGGGCCCCCCTGCTCCCGAGGACTGGGGTGTCGCCCACACTTACCCCACTGCTTGCTGGCTGGGTCCTCCTGGCCTCCGGAGGAGCCCTCATGCCCCGGGCTCTCCCTGGCTGGGCTGGTGTCCTCTGCAGAGGGGAGGGTGCGTGAGAGGGGTCTCCACAGCACCCCCAGACCCAGGCTGGTCCCCAGCCCTGGGCGTCTGGCCGGGCTGTGAAAGCCCTGGAAAGGCCACAGGCACACCCCCCCACCTCAGAGGCCTGGAGACAGCTGGGCACAGCCCGCCCAGCCCACTCCCAGGGTGCAGGTGACCCCAACAGGCTGGGGGGGGGGCGGGACTGAGAGTGGGCCCCCCACCCTGGCTCCGGGGGGTCTACAAGCGGGGGGGAGGGGCAGGCCCGGCGGCAGCTGCGGTAACCCTAGCCCACATCAAGGGGCCGGGGGCCGGGCGAAGTGACATGGGCCACATACCACCCTGTCGTCCCCCCTCCGAGAGGACAGTGGGGGGGGTCACCCAGAGTGCTCCCATTCCACAGCCCCCGAGGGGGCGGGGCTTGTGGAGGAATGCCCCCTCCCCAGGACAGCCGCGCCTCTGCGAGCCCAGGGCTGAGGCCAGACTGTCTCAGGCGCCCGCCCTGGCCCCGGCAGGGGGAGCCCGGCTCAGGCCACGCCCTGGTGGGCAGGCCAGGGCCACCATGCCCTGAAGGACACTGCCTCCCCCCCCCCCCGGGAGGCCCCACCCCAGAGACCCCTCCCCAGGGGACCCACACAGGGAGCACACGGGGGCGGGCTGGGGCCAGTGCCTGGTCCCCGCGAGAGCAGGGCGTGTCACTGGGGACGCCGCCCAGGCCCCAGCCCAGGCCCCGGAGGCAGAAGAGAACAGAAGGTCCTTGGCTTGCCGGCGGCCCCTCTGAACTCCGAAACCTGAGCCTCAAAGTCACCGCCAAGAGCAGGGCCGCCAGCCTGCCCGGCACGCCCTTCAGTGGGTCGACCACTAGGGCCCCAGGCCGGCTCCTGCTGCCCCGGCGGGGGTCCCGGGCTCTGGGACAGCACGCCCTTGGGAGGAAGGGTCCCCGAGGGGCAGAGGACAGAGGTCAGGCCCCGTCCTGGGCTCAGAAGAGGTGGCAGGGCATCCTGGTGGCGGCGGGCCGGGCTCAGGCCCAGGGGCAGGGTGGGGGAGGGGGCAGGGTGGGGGCCGCGGGGAGGGCCGGCCCCAGCACGGGCTGCGCCGGTGGCACTCACCCGTCACGATGAGGGTGTAGTTGACGCTGAGGCTGCCGAAGCCGTTGGTGGCCTTGCACACGTAGGCCCCCGCGTCCCCCCGCTCCACCTCCTTCACCCGCAGCCCCTGGGGCAGCACCCGGAACCGGCTCCAGCCGCCGTGGATGGTGCGGCCGTCCTTGGTCCACATGGTCAGCGGCGGCGGGTCCCCCTCCACGGGGCACTGCAGCCGAATGGTGCGGCCCAGCCGGGCCACCTGCCGTGGGACCACCTTGTCTGCCATCCTCGGGGGGCCTGCAGGCAGGTCAGAGCCTCGTCAGGGTGGCAGTGGTGGGGTAGGTGCTGGGAGCCGGCGGCACAGGGCCCTCCTCCCAGACCGCTGTCTGCATTTGCCCAGGCCCCCTCGGGCCAGGCCACGGCCACCGCGCGCCTGCTACCTGCCGCTGCACGGAAGCCGGAACCAAGCTCCGCCGGGGCAGCTCGCCGGGGCACACATCCTGGGAGAGCAGGGCGGCTCTCACCGGCCCCCACAGACACGCCGGAGTGTGTGTGTGTAAGCGCACGCGTGCATGAGTCACATGGCTCCCACGTGGCTGACGGCCCAGGCCTGTGTGCCTGGACAAGGGCCTCCCTGCTGCCAACCACAGCCAACACACGGCTTAACCCGAGGCCGGGGGTCACAGAGTGCGTGGCGGGTACACCGGCCCCGGTGCGGGGTCCCTGTCGAGTTGGCGGTCTGTGCCCAGCGCCAGGCCCCAAAGGAGAGGACCATGGCACCCCGCACTGTGGCAGAAAGCCCGCATGTGGCCTCAGGGCCTCCAGAGTCAAATGCAGGGACAGTGGGGCAACCGGGCCTGGAGGACATCGAGGGACGGGCCCGCTGGGAAGGACACGCAGGCGTCCAAACGCATAGGAGTCACCTCCTGGCCAACGACACAGTCGCCCTGCCCAGGCGCTCGGCCAGCCGAGTTCCAGGACCCTGCTCGCCACCCCATGCTGCGTCCACTTCAGGCCCAGGGGGCCTGTGTCTGGGTCCCGGCCTCACAGGCACCCCCGGAGGTAGCGGTGGCTCCCAGATGCTGTTGAACAGGGCCTGAGGGCCACATGTGTTTCTAATCACCAGCTGGTGTTCCTTCAACATGCAATTACCAGCTGGTTACACCACGGCCTTTGCAACCAGGGCCACCCGTGCCTCCGTGGGTCTGACAGAAACTCACGCAGCAGCTTCCCACACGTCGCCACCCCCCTCCAGGACTCTCCAGGAGCACTGAGCCCCTCCCTCCTCTCTGGGGGCACTGAGGGGGGCTGGGCACCACTCCCACTTAAGGCAGGGAGCTGATGGCCCAGGGTTCAGGGTGTCTGGCTCCCAGTGGGGAGGGGTTCCCTCATCCTGCCTGGCATGCCCCACTCCGCCAAGCCCACCCTGCCAAGATGCAAGTCCACTCCCCACCCTGCCGCGACTTGGGACACTCCCACCCACCTCGTAGCTTCTGGACAGTGCGCCATGGCCCCAGGCCCCCTACACTGCCCACCAGCCCCTCCTCACCGGCTGTCACCCCCACCCCTGTCCCTGGGAAGGGACAAGAACTGCAGAGGTGGCAGGGGTCCGAGACCCACCTCTCTCTAACTCCTCAGTGGCCTGCACGGCCCCCCAGGCCCCCACCCAGCTAGAGTGGGAGGGGCTGCAGGGCCCACGGACCAGGTCCCAGCTTCACTCCCAGGCAGACCCGGTCCGCCACCTGTCACTGTCTGAAATTCCGCCATTCACAAGGCCTCTGGCCGCAGGACAAAGAGCCCCCCCAGCCTTCCCAGCACCCTGGGCCTCCTCGCTGCCACCTGGGCTCACGCAGACACACGCAACCGCTCAGCAGGCGCGGGGAGGGAGGGCAGTGCCTGGCCTGAGAGGCAGTGTCCCCCCCGTTGGGGGCTGCCCGTCCCAGTGCCACCTGGGAGGGCGCGATGGAGCGATGGCCCGACACCTCCCTCTCCCCAAGGAGCCGGCTCCGTGGCAGGGAAAGGCCCGACCTGCCCAGGCCGGGGGCCGAGGAGCTCGAGCAGCGGGGGTGTCTTTCGGGCGGCAGCAGCCGAGTCCTCCAGACAGAGAGGTTGTGATGCCCCTCCATCCGGCATCCTGCGGGACAGGGCCAAGGACAGCCAGACGGCCGGAAGTGTGGCCCCAGGGCAGCCCTGTGAGCCATGCTGGAGGACAGGCGGGCCGGAGCCAGCCTTATCCTAAAGCAAACAGCCCCTTCCCTGCCCCTGCAGCCAGGCTGCCCCGCCCCACACCGACCCAGGGCCAGGCCAGGCCCCTGGGCCGCCCACACCCGCCCCGGCAGAGACCCCGGCAGGCTCCAGGGAGGAGAGCCCACCCCCCCTGCAGATCCCTGGGAATGATGGCTGCAGCTCTGTGCTTGGCCTGGGGACACAGGCCGCCCCCCCCCGGCCACCTGGGCAGAGTGTCCAGACCCTCGTCACGGGGAGACGACAGCAAGGCGGAGGCCGGGGGGTGCGCGGGGATGCCCGGGAAGAAAGCCCAACAGCAGCTCCGAGGTGGGGCCGTGGCCTCCTCCAGGGACCCCCTGCCCAACCTCAGCCCCCTCCTTGCGAGCACCTCCTCCAGGAAGCCCCCAGCCCGGCACACACCTAGGCCCCGGTGTCTCTAAGCCATAGGTGTGGGAAGTTACGGGCACAGGCAGGCCACGCGGGCCACACACAGGGGCAGACAGGGGGCAGCAGAGGCCAGGTCAGGGCTCCCCACCACCGCCGGGAGGGCTGAACACACAGGCGGGGGCAGGAGGAAGTCTGTCCCCCTTTCCTCTCCCCTTCCTCCTCCCCCGGCTGTGAGAACAAGGCCAGGAATGGGGGGTGGGGGGGCCCAGGGGCTGGTGTGCAGTGACCTGGAGGCCCCACCCCCACTCGGCTTCCCCGGAGCTCAGGTGTCACCCACACCACGTCGCCGGCTGTCCCCCAGACAGCCCCCGCCCCGTGTGCACCCCCCCAACAGTGGGTGCAGACCTCCTGTGGGGGGATACAACCCACCTCAGAGTGCCTGAGGCCCCAGGCCCACTGCTGTCGCCCACCCGGCCAGGTCTGGTAAGACAAGAACCTCCTGTCACCCCAGCGGACGCCCCTCTCACCCCGTGGGCCCAGGGACGGCGAGGGGAGCCGAGCTCCGGGACGCACCGAGAGGTGACACACGGTGGGGGGGGGGGACAAGGCCCCGTGCGGCCTCCAGGGGCCCTGGCTCAGCCCCGAACCCAGGGCCTCAGCCTGCCCCCACCTGGCGACCTTCCCAGCACCCGTCCCCTCCTTTGTCTGTCTGTCTGTCTGTCTGTCTGTCTGTCTGTCAGGGGCCTGGTCCCGGGGCATCAGCCTGGCTTCTCCCCACGGCCCGAGGCTGTCTGTGGGCTCTGACCTGCTGACCCTGAGCTCCGGCTGGGCCGGGCCCCGCCCTGCTCCGGGCCCCGCCCTGCTCCGGGCCCACAGGGGTGGCAGGTGCACTGCCGTCTCAGGCCTCGCCCCACACCTGCCTCCCAGCTGGTGACGCCCAAGCTGGGGGGGCAGATACAGGTGGGAGTGAGGGCGCCCAGGGACCACCGGCTCACCAGGGCAGCCCCTGCCCCCAGCAAGCCCCCCGAAGCCCCAGAAGTTTCTGGCGCGGAAGGAGTTCTCCAGCCAGGATGGGCGTGCGTCCGGGCCAGCCACGCAGGGACTGGCTGTGGGCTGAAGGCACCAGCCAGGAGCCCCCAGACTGCTGGGCCCTCTCCTCCTGGAGGAGCCAAGAGGCCTGGGGACAGCACTGCAGACCAGTCAGAGGGCAGGGAGGAGAGGCAGGGAGGGCCCTCTCGGGGAGGGCAGGGAGGCCCATGACCCCGCCCTACTGTGAGAGAGCACCGAGCACCCGGCACCAGGCCGGCTGGGGAGGCCGCCGGGGTCCTGGCGCCGGGCCCGTGTGGCGTGTGCACACGTGCACACACGCGCCCTCGCACGGGCTCCCAGCCACGGCGCGGCCGGGGCGGCCCCCGTGCGCCCCCCGGGGCTGTGGTGGAGCTGGCAGGACCCGCAGGAGGGGCGGCTGCCTCGGAAACAAGTTCGCTCCGGGCACAGCCGGGGGACAGCCTGGCCCACCCCGCGGGCAAGCCGGCTGCAGCAGCCAGTCCCCTCTGCTGCCCAGCGGGGCTCTGGGCGGGCAGGTCCATCGGCTGCCCTCAGGGGCCCTGCCCACAGGGGCCCTGCTCCTCCTCGCTGTCCCGGGGGCGCGGGGTGTCGCCCCGAGGGCGCCCCTGCCCTGGGGGAGCACGGAAACCGCTGGCAGCCGGCAGGGAGCAGGGAAGCGCCCAGACTCCCCGCCGCCGCCACAGCTCCCACCGAGGGGCCTCACGTCCAGACCGTGCCGGGCCCGCCAGACTGCAGGCTGGCCCCTCCACCCTGCTGCTCGCAAACTCCTCTCACCTGGAACTCGGGGCCCATCACAGGCTCCGCGGGGGGCCCCCCCTACCCCCTACCCCTCACCCCCAGCTGTCACGCACCCAGAAGGCCCTTTCCTCTGAGCCCTCCCTCGAGTGCCGGTGCGGGACCCTGACCACCCAAGTGCCCATGTCGCCTTGGAAACGTGGCAGGGCGTCTCCGGAGCCGGGAACCCTGGGGCCAGAGGCCAGCAGAACCGATGCTCTCCGTGCTGTCGGACTCACGCGCTGGACAGCCCGACCCGCCCAGCGGCCAGGGCTCCTGCAGGCCGGAGAGCCCTCACACGCACCCGCACCCGTGCCTGCCCCACCCGCACGTCAGCCGCACGTCGGCCGCACCTCGGCCCAGGGCCACAGCGCGCTCCTCGGGGGCGGGCCGGGGCTGGGCCGCCCAGCCCTCCGGGCATGTGGGACACTCACTGTGCTCCGCAGTGAGCCCACAGGCCCTGCCGGGGGCGGGCAGCTGCAGCAGGAGCCTGGAGGCCGCCCCGGCCCCTGGCCCTGGCCCTGGCCCTGGCCCTGGCCGAGGAGCTGCGGGCGCCAGAGCGGGTCGGGGCCCAGGTGTAAGGCTCTCGCGGGCACAGCGCCTCCTCCCACCCCGGCTGCGTGTCCTCTCCTCAGCCGTGAACTCCCTCCCGGGCCGCGCTCGCCAGGCCGGAAGAAAAGCAACCGTTTCCTGCCGGGATGGGAGGCCTGGGTCCCAGCAGCCCTGCTGCTTGGGCACCCTCCCTGCCACCTCCCTCAGGGGACAGCTCCTGGAAGCCCCACCCATGCTGGTTCTCCCAGGGGCGGGTGAGGGGCGTCTGGGAGGGTGAGGGCGTGCAGGGCCCAGACCTGCTGGACTCCAGGCCCTGCCTCCAGCCATCCAGTGCAGGCACACCGGCCATCCAGTGCAGGCACACCGGTGCAGACTCCTCACCGGGGACGGGGCTGCAGACAGGTAGAAAAGCCCCCCCGTGACAGCCCCCACACCCCCCTGAACTCCCCAGCCAACCAGCCTCTCACCCCAGCCCGGGCCTGTTCCCCACCCGGTCCCCGGTCCAGCTACCCCAAGGCACCCACGTATCCCAGATGTTCGCCCTGACCCGGGTGCACGGCCCCTCCGCCCGGAGACGCCCACCTGGAAGCATTTCCTCTCCTCCTGGGCCTGTCCTGGCCCGGCCCCGTGAAGCCCATGCCTCTCCCCCTCCCCCGAGCCGGCCCGGGCTGTGGGCCCTGGGTGGCAGCACCCCCCCACACACCCTGTCGGCCGAGGACAGGGCCCGGACAGCAGTCTGGCCGGACACCCCAGGGCCACCACGAGGAGGAACAGACGACGGGCGGCAGGGACCACAGGCCCGGAGAGGGTGCCTGTGGGGTCCGGCACAGCAGCCTGGGCACCCCTCCCCTCCACGTCAGACCTGCCCGCCGAGGCTCCCACTGGGACACACCAGGCGAGGCACAGAACGAGCCACACGAGGCCGAGGAGGACACCCACGGTGGGCGGGCGGCCGGCGGCCAGCGCGCGGCGTCACAGCCTGCCTTCCCGGGACAGTCAGCAGAGCCAGAGCCCGGCCCTGGGCAAGCCGCAGGCTGGGGCCGCCGCTAGGGGAAAACCAACATTTCCACGGCCGTCCGGCCGAGGGGCCTGGCAGGCGCTGGAGGCCCATTGATCCCGCACAATGGGGAAGGGCCTGTGTTCCCAGGCCCAGCCAAAGGAGACTTTGTTCACGGCTGCCCCCCCCCCCCCGAGGGGACAGTGATTTATTCTCCCTTCCAGGAGTGGGGCCTGAGTACACGAGGCGGCTGGCCCGCACCCTACCTGGCAGTGCCTGGGCCTGGCTCCCGCTTGTCCACCTCAGCCCACCTCCCTCTGGCTAGCCGCTGCCCAGTGGGGCCTGGGGGCTGGGGGGAGGTCCCCACAGCCCGGCTGGAGGCCGTGGCCCTCTGAGGCTCACACCCGCTCCCACTGAGTCACACGCACCGCAGACCCAGAGGCCCCAGCCTGCCCTCCCCCGGCCCCCGGGGGGGCACCACACTCGGCCAGCACCCGGCTCCCCGGGGTCACTGTCGCGTTCAGTCAGCGCGACCTGGAGGGCTGGCTGGCTGGCTGCTCAGGGACCGCTCCGCGGCGCCGCCATCCTCGGAGAAGTTCAAGGGCAGCACTTGCCAGAAACCCCCCGACACAACTTCTTCTAAAGCTATTTGAGAAAAGTATCTCGTTCCGAACCTCTCGGGCTCCCACGGTGAGGAATAAAATGGAAATGGAGAAAGCCAAATTCTATCTCTCCTCAGCTTTGGAAAACACAGTTCAAGACAAACCCACCGCGATTGTGAAACTTTGGGAAAAGGGGAACTTCGAAAACATGATCCGGCTCCAGAGATGTGCCGCCTCCAGGAGTGGCGACACCGCGGGGAGAGCGGCTCTCAAAACACCCCACGCGCTGTGCGCCGGTTCGCCCGCCCGGGGAGGCCCGCCCCGACCCGCTCACCCGGGAAGTGGGAGCGCCTCGAGTCCAGGCCCAGAGGGGAAGCCAGTGCGACTCAGGAGGAGGGCCTCCACCCCCACCCGAAACCACAGAGGCCCTGCCTTTGGACGGCGGCCCCCGCCGGCTCCCCGCTGCGCCGCGCCAGCAGAGCTGGATGCCAGGCACGGCTCCACGGCACAGGCTGAGGGGCACCGAGCAGGGTGTGGCCCTCCAGGGTCCCTCGGCGCCAGCGGGGGCCCTGCTGCCCACTGCCATCCCCTGGCCACCGCCATCCCCCGCTCCGCCTCGGGCTCCCACCAACGACCAGGCCAGGACAGCAGCCTGCAGAGCCTCCCTGGAGTAGTGGCCAGGGGACAGGCAGGTGTGGGGATGGGGGCGTCCGGACAGATAAAGGAAGAGTCAGGGTCTGGGCCACCGGCTGCCGGGGGCCTTGCTGAGCATGACCCGAGTGCCCGCAGCGCCCAGGACGCCGCCCAGCCCAGCCACGGCTGGGCGGCCCCCACCCTCAAGCCAGCCGGCCAGTGCCCGACTGGGCGGGCGGGGAGGGGGGTACCGTGGCATGAGGCCCACCTGGGCCGCCGCCCGCCACCCAACACCCGAACGTGGCCATATAAGGCCGCATAGGGCTCGGTGCGCCCACTGGGCGGCAGGGGAGGGGTTCCAAGCCTCATAGGACTGGCGGACAGGGCAAGGACGATCCTGAGTGGTCAGCACACCCAAAGGGCCGGCCTGGCCACAGGTCCCGCCTAGCTGAGGGGAAGCCAGCACAGGCCATGGCGGGCAAGAGTCTGTGGGTACACATCGCCCATTACCCATCAGCTGCAGATGCCCCCGCTGGCTGGGGCCAAGGGCAGGGGCCCCTCAGGGGCAGCCCAGGCCAGCCCACTTGGACGTCAGGGGTGTGAGCGTGCACCAGGCTCCGGCATGGTGCAGGCCAAGAGCACCATGTCCAGCCTCATGTAGGCTGTCGTTGGGTCTGTCTTGATAGAGCCCCCCGCCACAGTACAGCACCCCCAGGGGCTGGGGACTCTGTATCTGAGGGTGGGCAGGCACAGGGCTGGGTCATGAGTCCCAGACCCCAAGAATGTCCCCACTGTCCCCACACTGCACCCTGGCCACCATGGGACTTAACTGGGTCCACTGTGGCCAAACAGCCCACGCTCAAGGAGCCGAGGTGACCAGCCACCCTCAACTGCAGCTTCTCGTGTGGATATGGATATGTGTCCTGCGAGGAGCAGGGGCCAGAGCCCACCCTGCCGGCAACCGTGGGGCCCCCTAGGTGAGCTGGGATGCCCAGGGGGTCAGAGGGGACCCTCTGGGTGAGCTGAGACTCCCAATGGGTGAGTGGGGGGACCATGGGTAATGGGGGCTCTTGTGTAAGCGACGGGTAAGTTAGGGATACCCTATGGGTAAAATGGGGGAACCCCAAAGGTGAGCTAAGGGTGCCCCGCGGGTGAGCTGGGGCCTGCAGGTGAGGGGCCACTAGCAAGAGCCGTCAGGGGCGGGGCGCAGGCACGCGCCAGGCGGGCACTGGGGCAGAGTTGAGGGCCGGAGGGAAAGGGGCGGTGCTGGCCGAGGCCGGGGCGCTGGGCCGGGCGCCAGGACTCACCTCGGGCGGCGGCGGCCGGCGGGAGGGCCCCCAGCAACAGCGGCGGCAGCAGCAGCAGCAGCAGCAACGCGGGGCTCGGCGTCATCTCGGCCTGTCCGGACCTGGGAGTTTAGGGGGGGCGGTCACTGGCGCGCGGGGTGCGGGGCGCCACCCTCCGGCCTAGGGCCCCGGAGCGCGGGGGTGGGGTGCGGGCCGGTGCTCCGGGCGGAGGAAGCGGCGGCGGGGAGACCGTGGGTATCAAAGCAGACAAAGGGTTTACACTAATTACCGCCTCCCCGCCGCCCCCTCTCTAAGCACCGTCTGGATTCCTGGCTCTTGTAACTCGGGCCTGCCCGCGGGACACACAACACCGGCGGCCCCGCAGATAATCGCCTGCGCCATTAGCGGACAAATTTGCGCTGGAGGGGGCCACGTGGGGTGCCGGGGGGGCGGGGCGCGCAAGACCCTGGAGCGGGCGGGAGCAGCGACGGCGCGTGCCAGTGCCCAGTGGCGGCCCCGCGGATCAGGGACCGTGACCCTCCCGGCCTGCGCCTCGGACCCCGGACCCCGACCCTTGCACTCGGTTCCCCAGTCGTCCCCCGGGGCCGCAAGCGAGCGCGGAGGGGCTCACCTCGGCGGGGCTTGCGGGCGTTGGGGCTCAGGGCCGGGCCCGCGGGGCGCGCTGGGCGGTCATCGCCGCCCCGGGCGCCGCACCCCGCCGCCCCGCGCCCCCGGGCCCGGCCTCGGGACGGCGCGGCGCTACCTGGGCGCAGGCGGCTCGGGCCGGGGCCGGAGAGCGGGGCAGGGTGGGCAGCGAGATCGCGTCTTGGGGCCAGAGGCCGGCGCCGGGGTCCCGGGGCGGCGGGGCGCGGGGCCCGGGGCGGCGCGCCGCGAGGCGTCCTTCCCTGCGGGGCTTTGTCAACTCTCCCGGAGCGAGCGCCGAGCCCGCCGCGCGCCCCGCCCCGGCACAACTTTCCGCCAATCGGTGCGCCGAGGCCCGCCCACTCTCCTCTCGCCCCGCCCCGCGGCCGAACTTTCTGCCAATCCGGGCGCGCGCTCGCCCCGCCCGCGGGGCCCGAGGGTTTAACCCTTGCGCTGCGGAGGCCCGCGGGCGGGGCAGCACCCCGGGGCGCAGCCCCGCCCCCGTCCGGCCCTGCCTCCACCCGGGCCCGCCTCCTCCAAGTCCCAGCCGCCAGCCTTGGCCGCGGCCCCGCCCCCACCAAGCTCCGCGCAACGCCAGGTGCCTCGGAGCCCACCCCACACCTGCACCTCTTTGCAACCGCCTCAGAGGCCCCAAAACCAGGGTACCCTCTTCCCCGGCACCCCCAGAGCTGACCTCTGGCCAGCTGCATCCGGCTGCCCAGGAGAGAAAAGCTGGTTGGCCTCGGACGCTCTGGGCTTCGGGTCCGTGTTTCGTGGAGATGTTGGAGGCAGAGGCGTGATCCACAACCCAGCTCCGGACCAAAGCGGCCCGATGTGGAGCCCAGGCTTACTTGGTGCCCTTGACGGAGGGCAGGTGTGTTCCCGCCGCCCACCAGCAGGCTTCTAGCCTCTCACCTGCTACTGATAACAACACGAGGACCTTAATAATGACAGCAGTAGAGAACAACACACACAGCGCCTCCTATAATCCTCACAGTGAGGCAGGTGTCTGTCACCTGGTGCAGATGAACAAATGCAGGCACGGAGAAGGCAGGGGGTTTGCCGAGAGCTCCCAGCCGGGGCGTGGCACGCCCGGGGCTGACACTGAGGCTGGGGGGCCGAGCTCTACTGAGGTCCCTTCTCCACGCTGCCCCGCCTGCCCTCCCCTGCTGGGCACCCCGCACCAGCTGGCTCCCGTGCCTCCCCCACTTCCACCCATCAGTCTCTCAGACACCCACACTGTCCTCTCCGGCCCGAACTCCTGCTGGTCCGGGCTCCCCCTGGCTTTCCTCCACTGTCACTTCACTTGAATCGAAAATCTTTTTTTAACCTTTTTTTAAAAGATTTTATTTATTTATTTTTAGGGAGGGAGGGAGGGAGAGGGAGAGAGAGAGAGAGAGGGAAACATCAATGTGCGGTTGCTGGGGATCATGGCCTGCAACCCAGGCATGTGCCCTGGCTGGGACTCGAACCTGGGACACTTTGGTTCCCAGCCCGTGCTCAATCCACTGAGCTACGCCAGCCAGGGCTGAAAATCATTTTTAAACACAACCCTGACCCTTCTGTGGTTCGCCAGAGCCCACGACACAAACCCCGTGACCTTTGAGGCCCTGGGTGCCTGGGTCCTGCCCATCTCTAACCCAGCTCTGCCCAAATCACAGCTCCCCCTGTCCCCCCCCCCCCAGTGCAGTGCCCTCCCTGGCTGCCCGGGGCCTTCGCCCACGGTGTTTCACCGGGAGCACTGCCTGGAGCACCCTCTCCCCTCTCAGGAGGCCCCTCTTCCAGGAAGCCTTCCAGGGAAGACTGGAACTGGGGACGCCTTGCAGGCCAGTGTCCCCAGGGCAGAGGACAGTTCAGTGAGGGGTGCCAGCCACCAGGGCCCGGGGCCCATCGGGGCCCAGCCTGCCCACCCTTCCCCAGTCAGTGAGAAGGCAGGCCCCCAGACCCTTTCTCTGCACCCGTGTGAGCGCGTGTGGGCCAGTGGGGGCCAGGAAGGCAGATCTGAGAGGCTGTCCTGAACGCGGAGTCAGGCTCCACAGGCAGGTGGGAGGCCACCCCGAGCCACCCGCGTCGGGGCCGACCCGAGGACCTGAGGCTGGCACGGGGGACAAAACGGCATGTGGGTGGAGAGGTCCCCGGCCGCCCTGGACTTCGGACTCCCAGGACAGGTTTGTGGGGAGACACCGCCCGACGGTGAAGAGTTCCACAGGAGTGCGGGCTGCCAAGGGCAGGTGTGTGGGAAGGTGGCCCTGGAGTGGGAGGAGGTCAGAACAGGAAGTGGGCGGAGGGACAAGGTGGGCGGTGGGGAGGGGTCACAGCAGGTGATTGGGCTCAGGTGGGGTGGCAGCCCCCCCCTGACAGGTGGGGAAGCGTGTTTCCTGCGGGGTGTGTGAGTGCGAGGGGAGCGTCCTGGGTTCTGCGCTCCGCCCCGGGGCGGAGGGTGCCCACGGCTCAGACCGACTCCCTGCGTGGGGACGCGCTGCCCCCTGGCGGAGGCACTGGGCGCGGCAGCTCCCCTCCCCCGCTGCTGCCCAGCCCGGCCCGGCCCCGCCCGCGCCTCTCCGCTTGGCTCCCCACAGCAGCGCCAAGGCCGCCCAGCCCCAGCGCCAGCCCAGGCCGCTTTCTGCGAAAAGCCCTCCGACCAGCGGGCTCCCACGGCCCCCTCCTGACAACTGTCCCGGGATACAGAGCCGGATCAAATCCTCCCCCTTTTCAAGTGAGGCTCAGGGCAGCTCCCTAAAGGCTGGGTCTGGGTCCCCACACCTGCAATCGGATCCCGCAGAATGACAGCGAGGACTGTGGGAGTTTCTGTCTCCCACCTGCCCTGCCCAGGTGAGCCCCCAGAAGTATTAATTTGCTAGTCATATGGTCATCGTTCGACCGTGACGAGCTGAGCCTGGCCCCGAGCCCCGCTGTGCCGCCCGCTGGAGGAGATGCGGGGTGCGGCGGCCCCAGCCCTCACAGAGGTGGAGTCTTAGCAGCAGGCGTGGGTCCGATGAGGCACACACACGCGTACACACACACACACACACACACACAGGGGACGGCGCGCGGCAGGGAAGTGGGAGCGGCTGCTGCGCAGGCTCTGCTCCTGCTCCGGACGGAGTGACGGGCTGGACCGGCACGCTCTCACGGACGGCAGCACACGCACAAGATGTCAGTGGAGACAAGTGCATGTGAAAAGCACCCCAAACACCAGGCACCACAGAAGAAAAAGACAGCGACCCGCGAGGAACAGCAGACGAGCGAGGGGGGGCCTAGGATGGCCCTGTTCCCTGCGGAGCCGGGTGTCCCCTGCAGACAGGGGGTGGGGCGGGCCAGCTGGAGGGCCAGGCGGCTGCAGCTCGCGGGGAGAGTCCCAGAGAGGAGAGGGCGGCACAGAAAGGGAGCCGCAGGCGCCTGCGAAGGCACGCCTCAAGGCTTCGGAGGAGAACAGGTGGGCGCGAGAGGGGGAGAACCTGCGAAGGGCCTGGGAAGGTCCCGCCCAATGGGAGAGAGCCACACGGGACACACACGGCCCCTGAGAACCTTGTGACCAATCTAGGGAGCATCGGTCAGGGAAGAGAAGGGTCCTGCCGACGGCACGTGGCTCTGGCACTTCCCGCCCGAGCTTGGCAGCGAGGCCTAAGAGGACGTGTTTCCAGGTAACTGGGTCACCGGCCAAGTGCAAGCAATGCGCAGGGTTCTCTCTCATCCAGAACACGGGGTGAGCCGGCACCCGGACGCGGTGGGGCACAGGACTCTGGACATCCGCCCCGGAACCAGGAGGCACGGAGAGAGGCCCCGGGGTTGCAGCCGACGCTGAGGGGGGAGTCACTCAAACGAGCCGGGAACAGCAAAGCGGGGAGAATTGGCAGGCGAGAGCGTCACGCATGCTCGCTGGGACTCCCTCCCCTCGGGGAGATGCCGAAAGACTGGTCACAGTAAGCAGACATGGAAACAATTTTCAGGCTCCAACTGGACTTCCAGAGGGGAAACCCGTAATATATGAGATAAATAATACATGGGGTGGGAATAAGGACACCGAGAAAGAAAAGACTGATGACCTTGAACACATGGCGACCGACACTCTCCAGGTGAAACAGGGAATGCTGGGAATCAGATGAGGCCAGTGCGAGGCGGTCAAGCAGGGTGTCAGGGGCATCGGAGGCCCCAGGAAAGGAGGCAGAGGTGAGAAATAAAAACTGTTTTATGAAAAAAACAGCCCGACTTTTTCCAGATGTATTGGAAAACATAACCCCACAGTTCCCGAAAGCTCAAGAAAACATAAGCACAAGGAACATGAAGAAAACTACACCAAGGCAAGTATGTCACTGTCAAAATGCTAAAAAAAAAAACAAAAAAAAAAACCAACCCAGCCTTGGCTGGTGTAGCTCACTGGATTGAGTTCGGGCCTGGGAACCAAAGGGTCACCGGTTGAATTCCTGATCGGGGCACGTGCCTGGGTTGTGAGCTGGGTCCCCAGTTGGGGGCGCTCAAGACACAATCACACACTGAAGTTTCTCTCCTGCTCTTCCTCCCTCCCTTCCCCTCTGTCTAAGAATAGACAAATACAATCTTTTTTAAAAATGCTGAAAAACAGTTATAAACAGAATAGCTTAAGAGCATCCCAAGGAAAGCAGGTGCATTCTGTATGTCGGAACAGAGAAGCAGACGTTGAGAGACAGGAGCTGATGTGTTGTCGACCACACAGCAGCGAGCGGTAAGTTTCAAGTGCCAGGGAGTGCCGTCGATCTGTGCTCTGCGCCAGCGAAGAGGCCGCCGGGCCACACAGGCCAGCGAGGGCTCTTCAGACCCACGGAGCAGGGGGAATGGAGGAGCCGGTGGCAGACCTACACTGATGCTGAGTGAGCCTGCCCTCTGGGCAGAGGGGAACAGTGCCGGCTGGAGACCTGGAGCCACACCAGGCAGCGAGGGACACGGGAAACGGGAAGTGCACCAGTACCTCCAAGAGGGCCTCCCCTGGCCCCAGCCAGGGCGGCTCCGTGGGCTGGGCGTCGTCCTGCAAAGCCAATGGGCACCTGCCTGGGTTCTGGGTCAGGTCCTTGGTCTGGGCTCATGCGCAAGGCAACCGATCAATGTTTCTCTCCCTCTCTCCCTCCCTTCCCCTTCTCTAAAAAATAGATCAAATATTTTTTAAGCCCTGGCTGACATAGCTCAGTGGATTGAGCGCGGGCTGCGAACCAAAGTGTCGCAGGTTCGATTCCCAGTCAGGGCACATGCCTGGGTTGCAGGCCATGGCCCCCAGCAACCGCACATTGATGTTTCTCTCTGTCTCTCTCTCTATCTC